CACACACACACACACACACACACACACACACACACACACACACACACACGGATGGAATTTACAGGTGGATTCTGATCATTCCCCTTTATTACATAATATATTTGTGACTCGTAAAGTTGCTCTGGCTATACATGCAAAAACAAGTTTGATATACAAACGTCTCTGTCAGAGCTATGCTCTGGTTGCCATGAAAACCAGAGATGCATCTGAGAGGAACGTGCTGGGGAGATATGGCTCTTCATAAACTTAACATTTCAGCAGCTTATCGTTTATTTGTTTGGTCAGCTGAGACTTTAGTCTCTAATGGCATGTTGCAAAAAAAAAAATCGACCCACGTTGTCTGCACTTTCTTAATGTTTGGGAATGTGTGGCGTTCCTGCCTGTGTGTGTATTTTAAAAAAAACAGAGTGTTTTCCTCCCCTTTTCTTTTTCTCTGTAACTGGATTTTATGTACAGAACAGTAGCTGCTGAAAACACTATACTTTATATATACAAACAAGTACACTTGCTTTGATTATTTACAGCGTGTGTGGAGAACCGCCTTCATCTAAACGGTGTATTAGATGAGAACCTCCCGTCGTAAACGAGCTTAATGTTGTTGTAAACATTCCACTTTTTGTAAATTACTTTTTTTGTCCACACATGCGCTCCGCCTCCTCAGTGGAGAAGAGGCGTGAAGCAGCACGGGTAAAGACGGCGACACAGAGGAGAGCTTTTGTCTCCTTCGACGCGACTCGGATGGATACGTTTTAGTTTTTTGCCGTGCGCCACTTCCTGTTTCTCTTACGGGTCTGATGGGTGACCCCTCTCTTCACCTTTAAAATCTCAACTTCACAATCGCTCTCTTCGCCCCTCTTCTCCGCTGACTTTGACAGTACCCCTCACTAACACTTCCTCTCGCCCAGTCGTCATGGTGCGTGTGTTTTGTCATGATCTGTTTACACATGCGTACATATAGTGTGTGTGTGTGTGTGTGAGAACATGTAGTGTCTTAGTATCCCCGCGTCAAAGACCAGGGGTGGGGCCACAGTGAGCCCTATCAAACACTTGTTTCATGTGGAACTGTGTACCGCTGAGTGTTGAAGTATATGTGTATGTTGCTGTGCAATGTTCCTCCCGTCTCCCTTTTCTCTAAAAGCCGCTGATGTGGCAGTAGGCCTCCAGGCTGGAGAAGAGGATGTAGAGGAACCACAGGCCCAGGAACAGTAGGCTGGTGACCACCCGGGCGCCCCTCGGGCCGCCGAGCTCCCCGCCGATGGAGGGCCGGCGTCTGAACATCAGCACGCCCATGCAGATGAAAGCGAAGATGGTGAAGAGTGTGACGGAGAAGGCCAGCGAGCCCGGGTTCACCCTGAACTCCTTCCCCTTGGCCCACCAGTAGATGGCGGCCACCGACCACGCCACACCGATGCCCAGGAACACGTTGACGGCGTTGCTGCCGGTGACGTTGCCGATGGCCGCGTCGGCGTGCTGGTCCTGCATGGCGGCCACTTTACTGGCGAAGGTGTCTGAAAACGAGAGGAAGAGGTGTAAACAAAGTTACATTGCTAGGCAACAGCTTGGATCCCTGATGACTTCCTGTCCGCTGTCGTCATTCACATACAAGGACTATATAAAAGAAGGAGGGGTCGTTACGTCATTGTGACACCAATTTTATATATGTTTTGCAAGTAGCGGTACAAAGGTCCAGATTTTACAGAGGCAATTCAAATCTGGAAATTAGCGCCACCTCCTGACAGTGATAGGAAACATCATGGAGAGAATATGATTTAATATCATTAACAGTTTGATGGTTGGTTGGTTATTGGTAACAGTGATGCTCTCTTACAAAATAATACATGTAGAACACTAGCAGCTCGCCAACAATGCGAGTTAACTGACTTTTCTTTCTTTCATAGTTTTCTTGCACTGCAACAGGAAATTAACTGTGACGCATACAACTGAAACGCTCTATAAGGGGGTGTGAATGGTCCAAAACACAGACGTGGATGCGGATACATTTTTTTGCAACGTGCCGAACCACAGAAACCCAAATGTTCTGAATTACCCAACGCCGTTTGTTGTCAAAGCAATAAAAAGCTTTTGAGAAACCGGTTAAACAAGACACGTGGATCCGCCTCTGTTTGCTGAGGGCAGGTGGAGGCTTCCAGGAGACCACCCTCACACCCTCACACGTGTTAGTTCAGCGCCTTTCTCATGTAAATGTGAACTGAAACCCGTTTGGTCTCTGGTTCCTTTTTTATCTTATCCTGAATCTGGCGAGGGGAAAACGGGCATGGCCATTTTCAAAGTGCTCCCTTGACACCTTGAATGAAAATGGGTTCTGTGGGTTCCCGAGAGTCTCCCCTTTACAGACACGCCCACTTTAGGATAATGCATGCAGTATGAATGGGTTATTTTTGCTGATTCTAAAAATGGTGTATTTGAATATTTCTGCATGCTGTGTGTGAGGGTCTTGGATTTGCATAAATTGGGTATGACAGGAAAGCTAAGACTCTTGAGGATCCAATGAGCACAATTGTATTTATATGTGATGATGTTAGTCTCCATAGTAGCTATTTAAAGATCCCCTAACCCTCTTAAAGACAAGGGGGGGACTAGAAGAGTTTAAAATGCTGAAATTGGATTTGCAGATTGATTTAATTGATGGTTCTCAGGACATGTTACCTTCCACACACTCACTCAGTGAAAAGAGCGCCTTCACTCACCTGGAATAGAGGTTCCCAGTGCCACAAACACCACGGCGGTCACGCTGTCCCGAAGGCCGACGGTGCAGCCGAAGTGCGACGCCAGGTCCCCGATGACGGCGGTGAGGAGGCCGATGGAGCTGATGGAGACCAAGAAGCAGGCCCAGCCGTTCCAGTACTCCGTGGGCGGGACACAGGCGAACAGGACCTTCCAGAAGACGGTGACGAAATGCATGACGTAGTCGTAGCAGGACGGCAGGCGCTCCTCGCGGCCCTCTTCCTCGTCGTCGCCGTCACCTGCGGGGGGGGGGGGGGGGACGTTCAGGGCACATCATGGAGAAGATTAGGCCTTTAATGTGTTTAAAACGTGCACAGAACCTTGACAAAGCTGGTGCCAGATGGTGGTTTCTTGTGCATTATAGGAACACGTTAAATTAAATGTGCAGATTAAGTAACCAGCCTTTAAAGTCCAAACACTTGGACAGTTGACATCAGAATGGAAGAATTACTGTCTGCAGTGGACTCTCACTTCCACTAGAGGGTGGCCTTGAATTACACATCCAACAAGCGTTCATGCGTCTGAACATGCAGTTAGACTTAAACAATATTTGCCAATACATTAAGTCAAAGGCAGGTTGAAGGTGTAAGCCCCTCATATCTGCTGTTAATGAGCTTTATTGATTCAAAGGACAGGTACAGTCCCTGTGACAACAAGCTCAGTCATAACCTGTATTTGTATGTTAAGTACAAAGAACTTTGTGCTTTACGGTTGTCTCTCTGTCTCACGTTCAATTCTACCATGTTTTTATGATACAAATTGCTTTCAGGCTGCAGGCTACTGTCACAACATTCACCGATAAGGTCGGCAGTGTTGGAAGAAGTATTCAGGTCATTTACTGAAGTGAAAGTACAAATACCAAACTGTGAAAATACTCCACTACAAATAAAAGTCCGGCATTCAAAACCTTACTTATGTCAAAGTAAAACCCACATTTTACTCACTGTTGTTTTTTTTTATCACTGCAATATAAAAGTCCTGCATCTCTATGGAAACATTCACGCCTTGAAGTAGAAAAAACTAAAAAATGTCTTCTGTGCAGTATAACACAGTTATAATACCATAAATCAGAAAAACATTTGATAATTTCTTTTACAAAACTTGGAAAACAATGGCTATATTTATATCTATATATCCAACATTTTTGTGCTACTAATTTTATGAAAAATAATTTCACTGTGACTTTTGGTTTCAGCCGATTCAACCGTGGCTTCCCAGTTGTGCCCGAGAAGCGCAGAATTTGATGTTTTTCACGGAATCTGGTTTTAATTTGAGCAAAATTTGAGATGACACATTAATATTATATTTACAATTTTAAGCTTTGATTTGGTTGCTTTTCCTGACGAAAGCCTTCGTCACAAATAATGTGTTTATTTTCCAGCTGATCCAAGAGGCTTTGTTTTATATAGTTCTCTATCTGAAGAAGAAGGAACATTTTCTCAACACATAAAGGAACACTTCATCCTTCAGTTCATCACAAACATGCACCATCAACAACATCTGGAGGTACGTTGGGAAGGGGATGAAGAACTGTCATCTGAAAACTAACTAAAGCTGTCAAATGTAGTGGAGTAAAAAGTACAATATTACCCTTTGAGATGTAGCGGAGTAGAAGTATAAAGTAGCATCAAATTGAAGTGCTCAAATAAACCAAACTATTTAAAGGTGCACTGTATAGGATTTGGCAGCATCTAGCGGTGAGGTTGCAACCAACTAAAACTATAAACCACAAATTTGCCTCAGAGGGCTTTTTAAGAGACAGTAACGTCAATACTGGTCTAGTCATCAGGTGGACGGCAGTAATGCTAAACTAATAATGAGAGAAAAGGCTTGTGCCATGCTGTGATTGCAATGCTACACTGGGCATGGAAAAATTTGCCGTGAAAGGGGCGTGGCTTATTCTATGTTCACACTACGAGCAACCAAGTGGCCAAGCATGGCCAGCTACACTGTCGGCAGGTTGTCTTTAAAGTGTTGCTGAAGCAGTTGACTGAAAAAAGACCAGCTCAATTTGGATTTTGTAGTTTCGCATCACCGTCCTCCATTGGAAATGACTTGTGGAGTGTTGCCGTTTCGCTCGTAATGTGGATGAAGCATTAGCCCCTCCCCTCTTCTAGCCCCGCCCATGTTGACACTTAAAAAAAAAAGATTTCCAGGGTAGAGGCACACAAACTTTGAGGTTTAGTTACTCTTTAGGAGTGGCTGAGAGTGTAGTTAAAGGGTGCCAGTGTCTCCTTGCGACAGCTGTTTGTTCACTCCAGTAATACGTCAACTCACTCACACAGTCACTCACTCACTCACACACACACACACACACACACACACACACACACACAGAGGGAGCTCACCTGCGCTGACAGTGACCGCCTCCACAAACTGCTCCCTCCAGGAGTGCGTGCCGATCACCAGCGCCAAGTTGGTCTTCTTAATGAGCTTGTCCACGGTGCTCTGCCAATCAGGGGCACAAAACATACTTCATTAGCAAACCAGCTATAGGGCAGGTGACAAGGGTCACTCAGGTGAGACTGAGCTTGTTTGCTGTGCTGTTGCATTGTGGGAAATGTAGGAAAAGGTGGTACATCTAGGCCTCTGCTGCTGCGAGTTTGACATTCTGGGTAAATAGGCTTATTCACTTTCTGGCAGAAGATTAAGATGTGGAATGACACCACTCTCATATCCGTACGGTAAACGTGGAGCTACAGCCTGGAGCCAGTTAGCTTAGCTTAGCATACAGAAACAGCTGGCCTTGATGGGTTAATGGGTAATGGCACCTCTAAATTATATCTAGTTTGTATAATCCGTACATACTGTTAACTCAAGTTAACCCAAAGCACAAGCAAAGCCATGTTCCTCACCATGTTCCTCACCATGTTCCTCACCATGTGTTACAAGTGCTCTATCGAGACGTGCTGAAGTTTGATTTGCAGAGGATTTTTAATTCATTTGTTTTGGAGTAAAACCTCTAAAGTGCCTTAAAGTAAGAACAATAGAAAAACATCGACATAAGAACAGATATGCAGTGCTTTACCCCCCTTTTTTAGGAGAAACACACTTCAGTAAGATGAACAATAAAATACGAACATGAGCAGACAACACAACCCACCTATCAAACAGAGAACCTCAGTCCACACACATTGATCTCCGGTGTACTTAATCTAAATGCCAATCATACAGAATTGCATTATTATCCCCTGCTGGTACCCACTCCCCGCGAATCATAAGAGACAAGGTCAATTGTAATATATGTCTGCGAGGGGTCTATTGACTCCCTATTCAAATGGAGGATGAGAATATTGAATTTTGGAGCGATGATAGGACGACGGGCTGTCATTCATCTCTTTTGTTGACGTTGTTTGTTCTCTCTCCCCTGCTGTAATTAGTTCCCAAACAATCCATGCCGCTGCTGGTTTTTAATTGGCTCAAAGTTAGACGGGGTGTTTGATGCGTTTGCTGAACTCATCCGTGTGTTATTTAGGGAGTGGGAATGAGCACAAGAGGGCTTATTAGGTCCTGAGAAAAACACACACACACACACACACACACACAGGACCATATGCTTTTTCATGAATTCTTTCGAATCTTTGAAACACCCACGACGTCAGTTACATACATGAGCGCTGATGACAAAATCATTAGCAGGACTTGTTGGTATTTAAATAATTTATTCCGTGCATTTAGACGGACTCAGAGGCCTAGAAACAATACGATACTTCCCCTCAGTGCTGCCGGTAAAACAGCATGCGATTTAGTTCCCAAAAAGTAAACCGCACACGAGGGAACTTTCCTTAATTTAGATTCTGTCTTTTAAATTTTTTCTTAAGAGCATTTAAAACAGATGGATTTGCATTAAAGCATCCTTGTGTGTGTTGGACCTTCAGTGAATTGAGACTCATTGCTATGCCAGTGAGCTGAGCTCATTTTATTTGCTTGAAATACTGAGCCCAGTGCACGTTTCATATATTTGAATTGCTCGCAGTCCTCTTCCTACGATTTTGCTCATGGTGACACAGGGGGAGCTCGCTGGAAGCCCGAGAGGCAGACGGAGCAGAAGCTCTGTGCATCGAGTTTGAATTCTGCACGCTGCAATCTATCTGCTGCATCCAGGGCAACTCATGCATTTTCAATAATTCAAACGGGTATTAGGGCTGCTCGTTGTGAGGACTAATAGTTCACGAATGTGAGCGAAAAGGTACTGGTGGATTACACAAGTCCAGAAGAGCACAGTTCAGTCCCTTATGGCCACAAAATCAGGGCCCCAAACACGACCTACAGTGCAGGACCACAAGTGTAAATATTCCTGCTCGGGCTTTTGTCTTGAGCTGAATGACTTACGATAAATATGTTAACTGTTTAGTGTTCTTGGCCCACATCCCACATCTCTGATATTAGATTGCTACTTCAAATTATATTTGTGGTCTTATTTGGCAGTTCTTTTCCTTTTTATTAAGTTTAATTACAATAAAATAAGAGTAATAAACCTTAAAGCGACTGTTAAGACCGGAAAGTTTGTTAAACTCTTGTTATTCTGGTTGTGGAAATACAATGTATTCCAATGAAATTACATTTACGTATGTGTGAATAGTCATTTAAAATGAATTTCGTTTGACGAAAACATGTTATGAATGTCATTTATTTTCTTTTAATAAAAGTTTTTACTTTTTGGACTTTCAAACGCTATCGGCGTCATTAGAATTTGTTTGGATCACGCAGCCACCTCTGCTATCATCAATAAGTCATCCACACGTTCACCTTCAGGACATTTGAATTAAAAAAAAGCACAAAACACAAAGAACGGAAACCCCCGTGAGGAACATAATAAATGAATGGTGAACCTTGAACTCATACGACTCCTCGATGACCACCTCCAGGCGGCTGTGCTCCCCCAGGATGGGCTTCCCCATCTCAGCTATCCTCCGGGCCTCCTCCTCCTCGGAGCTCATCTGCCCCTCCGCCCCCTCTGTGGGGGGGAAACAAGGAGGACACCAACAGTGAAACTCAAGGTGCGTGTCACAGATATTTACCGAGCTCCATCGCTGTCAACGACAGATTGTGAGTGAGCATGTTATTTAGAGCTGCGCCGCGTCTACACATGAAATATGCGGTGCGTGTGTTCCCACACAGCGTGGGACAGGGACATGAGAGGATGACAGATGGATGATATCCGTGTGTGTGTGTGTGTGAGGAAGCAGAAAAACAACAAAACTGCGACACACACACACACACACACACACACACACACACACACACACACACACTAGAGAGGTGGATCTACACAGAGCAGGTGTTTAAACACTAACACTATTCGGTTGGTTGACCACTGAGCTGAAGTTCAGAATCAAACAGAAAATATTTTATTAAAGGTATAGGTTATATACACGGGCTGTGATTTGGTAATTATATGTGTTTAAAACAAAAACAAAAATCCGACAGGCGGAGCTGCTGCTATGCAAACAGAAAAACAAACAAACAAAACAGAGATGCACTGTACAACATGGTGCTAAAACAAGAAACAAGCACGGGACACAATGCTGGCACCTCTCTGTGCTAAGTCAGTTTGAGGTAAATGTGTTCATAGCGGTAGCTTTGCGCTAGCTACCAGTTAATTCCTGTCGTATTCTGATTAATTGCTTGTCTGTCTGTGGTGCCAAAGCCAAAGCAGTGAAAAAGGGGCCTATAAAGTTTATTATTTAAAGAAAAACGTCCACCACAATTTTCCAGATTTCCTCCAGAGTTGTTCTGTGCAACCAACAGTCCTAACCCTAAAGACATTCAGTTCACAATGATATAAAGCAGAGTGCAGCATAGCGGGAACCAGAGTCTTTGTCATTTTTGCTTCACTGTATGGTTGGTGCTGACAAATGGAAAATCTACATAGTGGGGGCCTCCTGCTGGGTCAGTTAGCTAAGCTACATTATGATGCAATCTCAGTCCATTTTGGATCCAGCATCAGACCTAAACGTTGCATGTCACGGCTTCTTCTCCTCTCTGCTAAAAACAAACAAAACTTGCTTTGCTAGAAATGACAGCCTGGGCTCTGGCTCTCACTGCATAGTCAATACCTTTAGAGGGATTTTCTCACTGATTCGATTTGTTTTTTGATGTATCACAAATATGTTTCTAATAAATGTCCACGTGGTGAGGAGGTTGGGGACTGTTTGTGTCCAACACCGACACCACGCTGCTGGAGACAGAGGCCGTATTGCTGAGCCCACTGGAGGGAAGAGAGGCACGGGAGAACCAGAACCAGGACTGAGCTTGGGCAGACTCAGTAAAATGAGAGGTTTTCCAAAGGGACTCTGAAACACTAGCGCTGTTGTCCTCAGGGGCTGGTGAAATCAACACACAATGAAAGTCCCTCTTGTAGCTTTAAAAAAACGTAACAAACATATTTATCTTCATATTTATCTGTAATGTTTTTACTAAACCTAACTAAGTACTTTTGTTGTGTTTAGGTTATTTTTTCCATATACAACGTTAACCACGTGTTTCCCTCAAAACGTATTTGAGATTGCAGCTTAGTTGAATGGGAACTTAATGTAGTAGGAGACAGGGTTGTAAATGAGCTCTCTGCAGCTGGTTTGAAATGCTAAAAAGAAGGTGAGGTGAAGTTACTACGAGTTTACGCAAAGCTTAACCATGTGACTATTGATACTATCGATCCACTTGAGTCTCTCCTCCTGGGCTTCCATACTGAGATAGAGAGCTACCAACAACTTGTAAGATTAGTTAGAGTCATTGATCCGCCTGAAATGCATGTAGCAACAGAGTTCATCTCACAGAAATACACACGTGGACAAACTTGTTGGTACCCTTCCGTTAAAGAAAGAAAAACCCACAATGGTCACGGAAATAACTTGAAACAGACAAAAGTAATAATAAATAAAAATGTACTGAAAATGAACTAATGAAAATGAGACATCGCTTTTGAATTGTGGTTCAACAGAATAACAATAAAAAAAAAACGAATGAAAATGACCTGGACAAAAATGATGGTACCCTTAACTTTGTTGCACAACCTTTTGAGGCAATCACTGCAGTCAAGCGATTTCTGTAACTCTCAATGAGACTTCTGCACCTGTCAACAGGTATTGTGGCCCACTCCCCGTGAGCAAACTGCTCCAGCGGTCTCAGGTTTGAAGGGGGCCTTCTCCAGACTGCATGTTTCAGCTCCTGAAAGATATAAACCATTGGACTATTCAGAATAGTCCAATGGTTTATATCTGATGTGACTTGCGAAAAAGCTCCAGTTTTGAAACTGGAATTTGGCAAAATACATATTGACAAGCCACAAAGCTTCTGGGAGAATGTCCTTTGGACAGATGAGACAAAACTGGAGCTTTCAGTGACCATTGTGGGTTTTTCTTTCTTTAACGGAAGGGTACCAACAATTCTGTCCACGTGTGTAACTGGTAGAGAGAAGAGACATTTCAATCCCCTCAAAGAAGGGTTGTAACAGTCCGGTGTTTCCATTAAGAGCTTCAGAAACACTTCTACGAGCCAGAGCGAGTGGCATTTTCTCGAGTCGGGAAATAAAGAGACCAGGAGGTATGGAGACAGTGTGTGTGTGTGTGTGAGATTACAGCCCTCCCCTCTCTCTTCAAAGACGGCCCATGTCTAATTATGAAAAGATTTTAGGAGTAAAGCAGCATATGGCAACCATCCCTGCAGCATTCATGGACACTATTTCAAGCTGTCATAGACACACACACACACACACACACACACACACACACACACACACAGACACACACACACACACACACACACACACACACACACACACAAACTTAGACTTTTTTTTCTCCATTTGTATATTTTGATTCGTCCCGAGCTCAGAGAAGCTCCAGCTCAAAAACGGATCTCAAACCGACGTATGTCAGTTTGCAGGATTACTTTTTAATTTAGATTCAGCTGCATTTCTATTTCAAATTAGAGCCGGGCAATAATTCAATAGGGAATCGTATCGTGATGACATCGTGTATAGAGATATTGCAATACACAATTATATTGTCTCTAAAGTGATAACAATTCCTAAAAATAATCTGAAAGTTCTTTATTCAGTTCTTAATTAAATGAGGAAATAATCATTTTCTTTTAATTTGCCATGTATTTAATTCACACAAGAGCATATAAAACCTTGTAGTTGTTTTATATAGGCTGTTGATTGACCAGAGAACATGTTATATAATGATATATATTGTTAGCCCAGCTCCATTTCACATCAATAAACACATCCCAGACTCAATGTTTACTTCCATTCCTTCTTCTGTTCTCTTCCATTTTCTATTAAATCCCAGCACACTTTTCATATAACCACACCGAACTAAAGCCATACTCCCACACACAAGGCTCCAAAGTGGCAATGAAAAGCAATACCACATTAAAGTATAATATGACGTGTATGATAAAGCACAGCCCCGGCGCTCTTATGAGCCACTCCACTTTGGTCTGTCAAAACACGGCCATCTATTTGCATCAGCAAGCAGACCGAGCTCTGAGTGCAGAGCGGCGACTCATCTGTAAGCGTTTCTTTCTAAAACTGTGCTGAGAGAATCAGCGCGCTCAGTTGTGCTGTGATCCAACTGTGAAACTGTAAACTCCTTCAGTTTTTAGAAATCATCTATTAAATAAGTACTTAATAAGGCTCACTGTTATTACTACTAACAGAAACGATGTAAATGAGGCCCAGGTGAGGGACAATGACTGAGTGAGTGAACTCAGCGAGCTTCCCTGGATGATTACAGGCCAGACACTGATGAACCAACATCAAGTGATAAGACTGTATAAACATGTTTTTTTCCCCCCAAAAATGTGCAAGTTTAAGAGGCTGAACTGCTGTTGTAATGGCAAAATATATTGAACTCTGCAGAAGAGTTGTGCATTTTAATGTTTGATTCTCTTTCTGGCAAATCAGCGGGGAGCAAAGCACTGAGTCAGGCTGAATATATATCATTCTCTTTGTGAACGTGCTGATGCTTCGTTGTGGCTTAAACCATCTCAGATGAAAAATGGGTTTGTGATAATGTTAAGCTCAGATCAGCCTCCGAGCTGGAGCTGGAGTTCACTAATCTGCCATTATTTCGTAATCAAATAATTTTTCAAGAACAAACATCAAACGCTTCCTAGTTTCAGCTTCTCAGTTATGACGATTAGTTACGATTTGCTGCTTCTCACCGTTTTATTGCATTAGAAACTAAATAATGACCAAACAAGACACGTGAAGACATCATCTTCTGACATTCTACAGAGCACACGTCAAACAAATAATGAAAATACTCCACTCGGAGGAATAATCAGATGGTCTCACCTTGGCTGAGCAGCAGAGCTGTGAAGAGGACAGAGGGGAACACAATAAAGAGCAGTGAGTAACAGCACACATTGAGCCTGACAGCAACATCTAACAACACATCAAACTCCACGCTACGCTCGGATGAAAGCACTAACACAAACTCACAGTTCCTGCCTACACGGCTTCACTGTAAGTGTTTACCATTAACAAAAAGCCTCTCCTCTCATCCCTCCTTCTGACAGCTGCTGGCGCTTTCCTAATCTCTGAGTTAATAACACACTGCGGCGACGGCCTCTTAATGCAATGTGTCTGACTTCTAGGGAAGTCTTCTGAAATTCAAATAAACATTCCTCTGTCTTTCTCTCTCTCTCTCTCTCTCTCTCTCTCT